ATATGAAGTCAATACAATCTCGCGGTGGAAGAAGTATTTCATAACTTTTATTGACGCTAGTACTCGATATTGCTATATTTACTTACTTAATAGTAAAGATGAAGCAATAGACGCATTCAAGCAATACAAAAATGAAGTTGAAACGCAAGTTAACAAGAAAATAAAAATGATAAGAAGTGATAGGGGTGGTGAATATGAATCTCCTTTTGAATAAATATGTTTAGAATATGGAATTATTCATCGAACAACGGCCCCTTACACGCCCAATCCAATGGGATTGCAGAAAGAAACAATCGTTCATTAAAGGAGATGATGAACGCACTATTGATAAGTTATGGTTTGCCACAAAACTTGTGGGGGGAAGCCGTTCTTACGACTAACCGAATACTAAATTGAGTACCCCATAGAAAAACACAATCCATTCCTTATAAAAAAATGGAAAGGAAGGAAGCCCAACTTGAATTATTTTAAAGTGTGGGTGTGTTTGGCAAAAGTGCAAGTTCCTAAACCCAAAAGGGTAAAAATAGGGCCGAAAATCGTTGATTGTGTTTTCATAGGATATGCGACCAATAGTAAAGCATATCGATTTCTTGTTCATAAATCAGAAAATCCCGACATTCATAATAATGCGGTTGTAGAATTAGATAATGCTGAGTTCTTTGAAAATATATATATCTGTATAAAAAGCAATGTGAGTCGATTGGTGAAGGATCTAAACGACCTCGGGAAGAAACAAAAGAAAGTACATTTAATCAGGAGGATCCAAGACGTAGTAAACTTCAAAGAACGTCTACTTCAATTGGACCAGATTTTGTGACTTTCTTATTGGAGAATGAGCCTCAAACATTTAAAGAAGCTATGTCTTCTTCGGAATCTTTATTTTGGAAAGAGGCAGTCAATAGTGAAATAAAATCCATATTGAACAACCATACGTGGGAATTGGTTGATCTTCCTCATGGAAATAAACCGTTGGGTTCTAAATGGATCTTTAAGAGAAAAATAAAAGATGATGGCACTATCGACAAATATAAGGCAAGACTTGTGGTCAAAGGATATAGACAAAGAGAAGGTCTTGACTATTTTGATACATAGTCTCCAGTTACAAGAATTACGTCCATACGAACATTAGTAGCGTTAGTTGCAGTTATGCTCTTGAAATTCATCAAATGGATGTTAAGACGGTCTTCTTAAATGGAGAGTTGGAGGAAGAAATCTACATGGAACAACCTGAAGGGTTTGTGGTTCCAGGTAAAGAAAAGAAGGTATGTAGACTTGTTAAGTCCCTTTACGGACTAAAACAAGCACCCAAACAATGGCATGCGAAATTCGACCAAACAATGTTGTCAAATAATTTTAAAATAAATGAATGTGATAAATGTGTGTACATTAAAAATGTTCTTAATCATATGGTCATTGTTTGCTTATATGTGGATGATATGCTGATAATGAGTAATGACATTGCCAACATAAATGCGACTAAGCGGATGCTAACTGGCAAGTTTGATATGAAAGACTTGGGAGTTGGTGATTTAATTCTAAGAATTAAGATCCATAAGACTTCTCAAGGTCTGGCATTGTCACAATCTCATTATATTAAGACAGTACTTGAAAAATTCAAGCACTTGGGCTTTAAAGTTGCAAAAACTCCAATTGATGTAAATCTTGCATTATCAAAGAACAAAGGCCAAAACATATCACAATTGTATTATGCTCGTGTGTTGGGATGCTTAATGTATATCATGAATTGTACACGACCAGATATAGCTTGTGCTATATGTAAATTGAGTCGATACACGAGCCATCCAGGTCAATCTCATTGGATGGCAATAAAATGAGTTTTGGGATATTTAGAACATACCCAGGGCTTTGCTTTGCACTACAGTAAATATCCTGCGGTGATTGAGGGATATTGTGATGCAAATTGGATTACCGGTTCAGCTGATTCGAAGTCCACAAATGGATATGTATTCACTATTGGTGGAGGAGAGGTATCTTGGAAGTCGTCCAAAAACTTGTATTGCCCGCTCTACAATGGAGGCTGAGTTCATAGCTTTAGATAAAGCTGGTGAAGAAGTTGAATGGCTCCGAAATTTCTTGGAAGACATTCTATTTTGGCCCAAACCGTTGGCACCAATATGCATACATTGTGATAGTCAAGCGGCAATTGGAAGGGCTGGGAGCATTATGTATAACAGTAAATCTCGTCATATACGACGAAGATATAAAACCGTTACGCAATTACTCTCTAGAGGAATTATTACGATTGACTATGTAAATTCAAGTGATAATGTGTCGGATCCACTTACAAAAGGCCTAACTAGAGAGGTAGTTGAGTAATCATCAAGGGGAATGGGACTATGGCTGAGAACAAGTCATAGTGGCGGTAACTCTACCTAGAAGATTGGAGATCCCAAGATCTAGGTTCAAGGAGATCAAACAAAGTCATTAATGACGGTTCAACATTGTTAACTAAACTTTTGGTCCATTCTCGTGATGAGACAATGTTCAGTACCAAGGATAAAGCATTAAGGCTTTTTAATAATTTCTAAATTTGATACGTGGTATTTCAAATAGTGTATCTACGGGATGACACGTTTAGGAATCACCTATGTAAGTGTGAAGTGTTAGCCACTTCAAGAAAAACTTTGTTAGGCCAGTTCTCTACGCACTTATGAAACCAGGCGGTGTTCATGGCTGAAACGAACACAACAATGAGAACCAAAGACGGTTAAAGGTTGGTTGTGTGACTTATGGTTGTCTAGGTATACACCAAAGTTCGACGGTTCAAAGATATCAAATCTACCGATTGACCGAGTATATCCGACATAAGTTCACTACGGAAAGTTCAAAGGGAAACCTACCTATCCAGATGCAATTAATCCTTGCTTGCGAATCACATAGTTTTTCATGCATATTTTCGTGATATAGCCATTCCCCATTCATGTGGGGGATTGTTGGGGTTTAAAGTATATTAAATGCTTAAAAGAGGGTGAATGGGAAATGGAAGAAAATAAAATTTTTAAGTGAAATTTTAAGTTTCCCCCTTGATGAAGGAACATTGTCCCATATTGGAAGAGGAAGAGGTTTTTTATGGGTATATAAGCAATTGCTCTTCTTCTAGCTCTTAAAGAGTTGAGAAGAAGGCAAGCCTCGCGTCGTCGCTCGTTCAGCTCGGCTCCGGCTTCGGCTTCGGATTCGGATATGGATTTGGATCGATCGATTGATTAATTTTTTGGACCAAATTTATTTGTTAATAGTAAAATATTAACAGAAATGTTATTAAATATTCGTCTTAATAATAGAATATTAATATTAAAATAAATATTAATATTAAATCCAATCAATTTTCCATTTTTCAATTGTGTAACTGAAAATTAAACTACCCTCTTCAATTTTCCCTCTTTATTGTTGAGTAAATAGCCATTTATGTTATGGCATTTATTCTATGGCAGTTTTGCATAAACAACCATTCTGAAGAGTTGCACCTCTTCAGATTTCAGTCCAACTTTGGCTATAAATACAAGTCTATTCTCTCAGAATTTCAATACGATTTTCTGAGTTTCTCCTCCTCCTTCTATATTGTTTTAACTTCAAAGAAAGCAACAGTAAGTGTGATTTGCTACCGAACTTTGTGTTCGCTGAAACACTGGGGTTTGAAGTACCACTACACCAGTGTGTAATTCGTTCTATCTTGGGAGGAAATAATCCATAACCTTGGGTACTAGTAGGGGATTAAATTCCTTATGGAAACACTGTAAATTCAATGTGCTCGGATTAAATTTAGTTTCTATTTATGTTATTTTCTCCAGTATTATTTTACAAATACGATTTACTAACAAGAATAAGGTCTGCATACAGACTATCCTCCCCAGATCCCACCTGGTGGGAACCTACTGAATTTGTTGTTGTTGTTGTAATTAAAAAGGATGATATTTTTCAATAACATACTAGATCTAGTACTAGCATTCGGAGTATTATATCGTGGATGGGACCATTCAATGAATGACTAACAGACAGCCATGTCATAAACCACATTCCCTTAAGCATGCTATGTGCTCTCCTTCTTTAAAGAACTAAAAGTTGATGCAAACCTTTTCTAATTAGCAACTCGATTGCCACTTTGAAAAAAGAAAAGTACGTATAAACAGAAACCCCCAAGGACAAAAAAAAAAAATAGAAGAAAAGAAAAAGGTCAAATTTGTATATGTACTATCCGAAATTGAACACGTTTGCTTACTGTTTAATTTTTTTTCTAATATAACTTTCACCGTCAGGTAAAAAAAATTTTTGTTTTCACCTTTGAAGCTCCAACTTGAAGGTAATTTAGTGGGCGTTTGGACATAAGGTTTGTAAAATTTCGGAAAAAATTGAAAAAAATTCAAGTGAAAATGATATTTGAAAATTAGAGTTTTGTTTGGACATAAATATAACTTTGGGTTGTTTTTGAATTTTTTTTTGAAAATCTGAAGAGAAAATTTGAAAAAATAGCCATGGACATTTTCAAATTTTCTAAAAATTTCGAAATTCATCTTCAAGTGAAAAGCAAAAATTATATGATCAAACACTGATTTCGAAAAAAAGTGAAATTTTTTTTATAAAAATAAAAATTTTATGACTAAACAGGCCCTTAGACCTTTGGGAGGTAAGTTTGAACAGTTTTTCATTGGAGCTTTGTTAATAATAAAATCAAATACAAAATGATTTAATGAATTGATAACGGAAAACAAAATTGAACAATTGCAAGGGAAAATTTATTACTCCTCCGTTTCAAATTAGATGAAGATTTTTCTTTTTAGTCTGTTCTAAAATAAATGACACATTTCTAATTTTGTAAATAATTTAATTTTAAATTCTTCATTTTACGATTTATAACCACACAAATATCATGACAGTACAGTACGGAGCATTTATTCCTTAAAACTTCAAAGAAAATATTGAGTGGAAGAGAGAGAAATTCTTTTTCTTCCCACTTTCTCCTTGGCTTCCACTTCGGCGTGTTTTCCTCTAAAACTCACAACTCGGTTTGACTAAATTCCACCATGTGAAAAGCTTGCACCAAAATGAAAACCCCACTTACATTATTATAAGGAGAGGAGCAATGAAAAAAAGGTGAGAGCAACCGTACTATGTCATTTGAAGGAAATCAAAAACGTGTGGACGGTCACTCACAATTTTTTAATCAATTTCTCCTTCTTTCTATATATACCCTTCTCATCTAAATCACTATGCCTCAAGAAAACACTCATTTCTAACTAATAATTCCTCCTTTTTTTTCTCTCTCTTTTCTTTCTCCCATAAATTTTTGAAAAAAAGAGACCATTGAAACATAAATTGAAGAGAGAATTTATTATTATTATTATTATGGCACTAGCTAAAGAAATTATGGGTATTTCCTTAGTGGAGAAATCTTCAGTTATTAGCTCATCAAAGGTGTTTTTGAATCCCAATTTCTATCAGAAAGAAAACCAGTTATGTGTCAACCGACAGTTTCAAGGGAGGAGGAATTTGAGAACAAGGAGAGTACTGAGGCAGAGTCCTATGGCGGCTATAAGTGAAAATTTGATCAAAGTTGTACCTGAAAAGGCAGTGAAATTCAAAGTAAGAGCTGTAGTTACAGTGAGGAACAAGAACAAGGAAGATCTGAAGGAAACAATTGTTAAGCATTTGGATGCTTTCACTGATAAATTTGGAAGGAATGTTTCCTTAGAGCTCATTAGCACTGACATCGACCCAAGTAAGTCTCACACTTCCAATAATCTGATCAAAGGTCTCTTATTAAGATTTGGCTTTTATCTGTTGTTGTTGTGAACTGATTCTATTTCATTTTAATATATATAGATACAAAAGGGCCGAAGAAAAGCAACCAGGCAGTGTTGAAGGATTGGTCTAAGAAATCGAACTTAAAAACAGAAAGAGTAAATTACACAGCTGAATTTGTTGTGGATTCAAATTTTGGGACTCCAGGTGCGATCACAGTGACTAACAAGCACCAACAAGAGTTCTTTCTGGAGAGTATTACGATTGAGGGATTTGCATGTGGTCCAGTTCATTTCCCCTGTAATTCATGGGTTCAGTCCAAAAAAGATCATCCTGGAAAAAGAATATTCTTCTCTAATCAGGTAAAAAGAAATAAAATCTGTTATTTTTATTGCCATTAATATGTTAATCATCTGATATGAATTATGATTAGTTGCTAAGATTATAAGGTCCACACCGTGGGGTCTGGGGAGGATAGTGTGTACGTACACCTTACCCCTACCTTGTGATAGACGAGTAAATTTCAAATTTGAATATTCCATAGGATTTTATTTTTTTAAAATTCAACGTTTGAAGTTTCTTTTTGTTGATATAAAATCTTTCCGTGGTATTCACGACTTAACGTGTGGAAAGTAGTCTTAATGTTGAATTTCATATGTAAGCGACTACCATAGTTGAATTGATCAAGAGGAATTTCAAAAGATAAGCTTTTACTACAATATAGGAAACTATCAACTTTATGATGACCACTTTCGTAGAAGAAACTGATTATTCTAATCTGAATATTTTTCATAAGATTCGGTTAGATAGTTTAATCATCAAAAAGGAGAAAAGAGAGTATTTAAAAGGAAAAAGAAGAAACAATAGGTACAATAAGAAAGGCAATATAATCACGAGTTAAATGCACGTAATGTCTTTTTTAATGGCCCTAGTATTGTTGTTCCTTATCTCCATGTTCTATGTTTTAACACCAGCCAAAACCAATCGGCAAAGCCACCTGCAAAAGAAATAAAATAAAAAAATGTAAACGTGTGTATAAAGTAACATAAATCAGTGGCGGAGGCACATGCACCACCCCTTCGCCGGAAAATTATATTGTATAGCTCGGTAATTTTTTTTAAAAAATATGTATATATACTATATAATGACATCTCTTGACTTCTTGGTGAGTTTATTTCTTTATATTTTGACTCCCCTTAATGAAAATCCTAGCTCCGCCACTTACATAAATGATGCTACTCTCTTCCTCTCTTCCTCTCTTTCATTTTGTGTCTTATTTTGACTGCTTAAGAAATTTAAGAATATAAAGAGAACTTTTGAATCCGATGATATCAAACAACAATATCTTTGAATCTTGTGGTCTTTGCAAAAATACTTACAACGACAGAATTTATAGCCCTTCGTTAAAAAGTGGTAGTTAAAAGTCAATTTCTTATAGTAATTAATTTTATCCTTACTAACAAAGTTACTCCAAATTATTGAGCAGCCATATCTACCCAATGAGACACCAGCGGGACTCAAATCATTAAGAGAGAGGGAGCTGAGAGATCTAAGAGGCGATGGAACAGGCGTCAGAAAATTGTCTGATAGAGTATATGATTATGATATATACAATGATCTTGGCAATCCTGATAAGGGCATTGATTTTGCTCGTCCTAAACTTGGAGGATCCAATAACGTTCCTTACCCAAGACGTTGTCGCACTGGTCGTGCTCCTACAGACACTGGTCAGTTACTTTCTTTATACTGTCAGTGTATATAAGTTAAATCTGTAATTTGTGTTTACCTTTATTCACTTAGCTTATCTTTGGTGTTTTTGACTATAGATATGAGTGCGGAGAGCCGTGTGGAGAAGCCAAAACCATTGTATGTTCCAAGAGATGAACAATTTGAGGAGTCTAAGATGAATGCTTTCAGAACTGGAAGGCTTAAAGCGGTGCTCCATAATTTAATTCCATCGTTAATGGCCAGCATCTCAACGAACAATCACGATTTCAAGGGATTCTCAGACATTGATAGTCTTTATAGTAAAGGGCTACTTCTGAAGCTTGGTCTTCAAGATGAAATGTTAAAAAAGCTTCCATTGCCTAAGGTCGTTAGCAGTATCCAAGAAGGGGATCTACTCAAATATGACACGCCAAAGATACTCTCAAGTAATTACTCTTTACACTGTCAGTACATATAAGTTAAATTCTACTAACTATGGTTGCTATAAAGCTCAATGTGCATTCTTTTAGCTAGTGATGCCAAAATATTAACCAATGTGAATATTCTGTATATTGCAGAGGACAGATTTGCTTGGTTACGAGACGATGAGTTTGCTAGACAAGCAATAGCAGGAGTCAATCCAGTGAACATTGAAAGACTTCAGGTTTTCCCACCAGTAAGCAAGCTTGATCCTGAGATCTATGGCACTCAAGAATCCGCCCTCAAAGAGGAACACATTCTTGGTCATCTCAATGGCATGACCGTTCAAGAGGTAAATATAATTGGATTCAACTAATATACACTGATAGTGTAAAAATAATATTTACTAATTGAAAATGTTCATTTTACTGATCTGAACAGGCATTGGATGCAAATAGGCTGTATATAGTGGATTACCACGATGTTTACCTGCCGTTTCTTGATCGGATTAATGCCCTTGACGGCCGCAAAGCATATGCAACCCGCACCATATTTTTCTTGTCTGATTTGGGTACTCTCAAACCCATAGCCATTGAGCTTAGCCTCCCCCAAACTGGTCCAAGCTCACGGTCCAAACGTGTTGTCACACCACCTGTTGATGCCACTGGTAACTGGATGTGGCAACTGGCCAAAGCACACGTCTGTTCTAATGACGCCGGCGTTCACCAACTCGTCAACCACTGGTAAGTAAAACTGAAACTGTAGGCAGTGATACACACCATTCTAGTAATTTCTGAATGAATATTAACTCATTTTTGGTTATGTAGGTTGCGTACACATGCGTGCTTGGAACCATTTATATTGGCAGCACACAGGCAATTAAGTGCGATGCATCCCATTTATAAGCTTCTGGATCCGCATATGAGATACACACTAGAAATTAACGCATTGGCTCGCCAGAGCTTGATCAGTGCCGATGGTGTAATCGAGGCTTGCTTTACTCCTGGTCGCTATTGCATGGAGATGAGTGCTGCTGCCTACAAGAATCTTTGGCGTTTTGATTTGGAAGGCCTCCCAGCTGATCTTATCAGAAGGTACTCATTTCGTCCATTATGATTAAATCCTTTATGTAGATATATATATTTAAGACATGGCGGCTCGACAAAATTAGTGGCCTAAATCTGACAAACTGAGATATTTAAAGAGGATTTGACTTATATTTGTCAATTGACACCATAGTTTAACTGATAATACCACGTAAATTAGCATCATATATTTCAGTAACTTGTTAGCATAAGATTAAACCCATAAATCATGAGTTCTCTACTTGTAGTATTTATTGTGTGCAAAAGTGGGGAAATCTAATCAATATTTGCTCAATATTTCATAATGCAGAGGGATGGCAGTACCGGACCCAACACAGCCTCATGGACTGAAACTTCTAATAGAGGACTATCCCTATGCGGCAGATGGACTCATGATATGGGCCGCAATAGAGGGCTGGGTTCGCAGCTATGTAAATCACTACTACCCGGACTCGGCCCAAGTTTGCAATGACAGAGAACTCCAAGCCTGGTATGCTGAGTCCATTAACGTGGGCCATGCAGACCTCCGTAATGAAGAGTGGTGGCCCACGTTAGCTACGCCAGAAGATCTCATTTCGATCCTCACCACCCTCATCTGGCTAGCTTCAGCACAACATGCTTCACTGAATTTCGGCCAGTACCCATACGGTGGCTACGTCCCGAACCGGCCACCTCTCATGCGTCGATTAATCCCCGATGAGAATGATCCCGAATATGCAGTTTTTCATGATGATCCTCAAAAGTATTTCTTCTCAGCTCTACCCAGTTTGTTACAAGCAACAAAGTTTATGGCCGTGGTTGACACATTATCGACTCATTCACCCGACGAAGAATACATAGGAGATAGACATCAACCGTCTACCTGGACCGGGGATGCAGAGATTGTCGAAGCGTTCTATGATTTCTCGTCCGAAATAAGGAGAATAGAGAAGGAGATAGATGATAGGAATGCTGATACGAGATTAAGAAACAGGTGTGGTGCTGGTGTGCTACCATATGAACTTTTGGCACCAAGTTCTGGCCCTGGAGTAACATGTAGAGGTGTTCCAAATAGCGTATCAATATGAGTATATATATAGTTATGATGCAAGTACATATAGTATAGCCAATGTTTATAAAGTCCACAAAATAATAGCGTGGACTGATGAGTTTTCTGCATATATTTTAAGATCAAGATGTATGTTTGTATCTATAGATTTTTGTAAGCATGTTAACTCTAGCAAAGTCCTATAATATATGAATAACGACATTAAATTTGTTTGACATGGATTCCTGGATTATCCCGCTTATAGCTTGCATATAATTGTTTGGCCAAGTTTCTTCAAGCCAAAAGCACTTCTTTTTTTAAAACTTTTTTTTCCAAAATGAAGTGTTTGGCCAAGCTTTTAGAGGAAAAAAGTGCTTTTGAGTAGAAACAGAAGCAATTTTGGATAAGCAGAAAAAAGTAGCTTCTCTTCGAAAACATTTTTTTTAAAAAGCACTTTGAAGATAAATACATTTAGAAGCATTTTTTAAAAGCTTGGCCAAACTCTAATTGCTGCTTATAAGTGCTTTTTAATTAAATTTGCCAAACACAATTTAAAAAAAAAGGACATTTTTGAGAAAAAACACTTCTTAAAATAAGCTGATTTTTGTAGCTTGGCCAAACAGACTATTATATTGTTAGATTCGGGGTTAAGGAAAGAAGAGTACGTAGGTTAGAACATTTTTCATAGTTCTCGAATCCTTTGTAAGGTAGTGATGAGTTTTCGACATTCTCGCTTAGAAAGAAGACTAGAGCTAGACAATACCATCTCCCAGGTTGCTTATGGGCCGGTTTGTTTAGATATTTAGGGTTAACGGTCGGCAAAATCAATAAACCTAGGCAGAATAGCCTGAATGACACTTATACTTGTGTCACTTTGTCATCCCGGTCCGCAAACTTAGCATTTTGCCAATTAGATACTTATACTCGCTCAAAACTTATATTTTAAACCCCTCTGACCGTTGACCGATCATATGTGGCAACATTATGGCTGAGTTGGACAACAAGCGTGTAATTCACGCGTACAACGAGCGTTAACATAAAAAATTGGCCTAAGAAATGATTGAACTAAGAAGAAAAAAATATATAAAATGAAAAAAAAAGTAAAATTTTAAAAAAGTAAACTAACCCCCTTCCCGTCTTCCCCAAAACTCCTCCATTTCTATTTCTTTTTCTCTTTCTCCCCCCCCCCCCCCCAACCTACACCCTCCCCCAGAACACATCTCCCATTTCTAAAATTCTTGACCCTAAAAAAGAAAAAGAAAAAAAAATTATTGGCGAGAACGATCCCTGGAAAACGACCGGAAAATCCATAGCGACCCCTCCTCCATTTTACTCTCTTTCTTCCTTTCCGAAAATAATGTCAAAAACCCAATCCTCTGTATAGTAGACCTTTAAATCAGTAAACAAGAACCTTCAAATCAGTAAAAAATCAAAATCCCATCTCCTAAATCAAGCCACCAGAAAATCCATCATGTTTTAAAACCCCAAATCTGAAACTTTATTTTTGACAAAAAAAATTCCTCTATTGCTACATATATTCTTATTTTTGAGGCTAACGGAAGAGACAAGGGAGAGGAGAAAGGGATAGACAGAAAAGAAAATTGGAGAGGCGGAAGAAGAGATAGGTTGATTGTGGGGAGGGGGGGTGTGAAAAAGAGAAAAAAATTGGGAAGGGGAAAGACCTCGGTGGGGTGAAATTCTTTGTGTAAGAACACTTTTTTTATTTATTTATCTTTCAGTGATCTCCGGATGTTAATGATATTCTCCGGTGGCTGGAGAAATTTTCCGGCGATGGCAGTATTAGAGTTGTTGGCGGTAAGGAGAAAAGATGGTGGGGTAGGGAAAAAAATGAAGATAAAGTCAATAGTTTATTTTTCTATGTGGCACTAGTAATGACGTGGCATCCTACGTGTAGGAGATTGTATTACACGCACTGACAGCTTTCTGTCATAAACGTTTATTATACATGGTTTGAGCGAGTATAAGTGTCCAATTGGCAAAATGCTAAGTTTGGGGACCGGGATGACAAAGTGACACAAATATAAGTGTCATTTAGGCTATTCTGCCATAAACCTATTTTACGACTGGAGTATTATTACAGTTCAACTTTGAACAGCCTTAGGGTGTGTTTGGTATAACGGAAAATATTTTCCGTGGAAAATATTTTTCAAGAAAATGTTTTCTTGGAAAACAAGTAGTAATCTTATTCATTTTCCGGTGTTTGGTACGCAAATTAAGGAAAATAACTTCTCAAGAGTATTTATAAATAATTTAGATATAATAAACATGAAATCATAAACTTCGTTAAGCGTGCATCCCCCCTAGAGTTACTTAGATATATCAAAGATGAATTCTGAATCTTTTTATAATGAAGTATCTATCTTTTTGTGTTTAATATTTGTACATAGGTATCTATATATATGAGTAATATTTCGATTGGCATCGATCATCAGGTTAAGTTATCTGCAACAAGAAGTAACTGTTTATATAACATGTTATAACATCTTAAATTACACTGCTAATGTATAAAACTTACTCATTTTTTTCTTGGATTTTATTTTCCGCCCATAATAGAAGAAGGATGGGTCATCATCAAGTGAAGACGACATCCACTCCTTTGATCTTGGAACAGTAACTACAGAGCAACAAGAGACAAAGCAAAGACTAGAAAGAGCACGAGAAGAAAGATTTGTAATGGTTACTTGTCTCTCTTCTTTAGAAGAAGAACTTGAACGCACAAGAAAAGAGCTTGAGAATTTAAAATTCATAAGGAAAACATTTTCCTCCATTTGAAGGAAAATGAGTTCATAAGAAAAATGTTTTTCAAAACATTTAAACCAACCAAATATGAAAAAATTGAAGAATATTTTCCGAAAAATATTTTACTTCATACCAAACACACCCTTAGTTCCCATCATTTTAATTGTCGTGCTGCTTCATTTCCACAATTTGTTGACATTTAAATAATGTTATTTTTTTCTTCTAAAAATGAATAGTGAGGGTGTAAGTTGCTACTCGAGGTAGCAAATGGGCAGGTTGGGTTGAATTTGGGCAGGTCAAAATAGGCTGAGTCAATAAATGGGTCATTGCCCAACCCAGCCCCAAGTGTACTTGGACTAAGATGGACTGGGTCAAGATGGGTATACAATGGGTCATAGCCCAACTTGACCCATGTTTTTACAAAGGAATTTTTTTGTTCCTATACACTATTTGAAACCTTATTGCGAAAAATATCCAAGTTTTTGTATTTACCCGACTAAACACGTTTTAGCTACAAAATATATACAATCCACCTTAAAAGGCTCCCAATCCATTATTAGTGCCTTCAATCAAGGGATGTAGTTATACCCTTTTGCTTTTTTTTCTCCTCCCTCCCCTCTTCTAGGGCTGCTTATCAGGCGGATTGAGCAGTTATTTACTCTTAACGGTTTGACTTATCGGTTATCGGCTTTTAAATGTATTAATCCGCTATCCAACTGATAAGATATCAAGGGGATTGGTATCGGTCTAGCTCTTATCGGGCGGTTTATCGGCCTAATTCAATCAAAATAAAATAAAATTCAATATACTGGAGGAAGAAGGGTTTGTTAGTTTTGTGCTAAAGAAAATTATTGCTATTTGTGGCAGCGCTCGGTATAAAACGGTGTTTTCAATTTATGCTCAAGCAGGTTTTTAGATCTCTTGTTGAGCTCACAAAAGACATCACGGGAGCAAAGGTTGAGAACAACAAATTCTGTGTTTCTGTACACTATCGTAACGTAGATGAGAAGGTATGGGTTGTTAATTTGGTTTAAAATCCAAATGAAAGATTATGTTACTCTTCTTTATCTGTCAGAAGGTTCTTATCCCTTCTTGTTTTGTGCTTGCGTAAATTATAAAAGAATTGGTCAATTATTGGAAAATCTATTGATGAACTGTTAAAACACTACCGACGTCTGCGATTGACACATGACCGCAAGGTACCCATCTGAGCCTTCTTTTGCACTGCACTTTTCATGGCAGCAGGAAAGTTACTGTCTTGTTATATTTAACTCCTCTAACTGTCTGCTCCATAACGTTCTTCAAGTTTTAGAAGTCAAGCATGTGCTTAACTGGGACAAGGGGAAAGTTGTTGAGTTCTTACTTGAATCATTGGGTGAGTGTCTTTGAATGCTTTATGGAACTGTCCTGAAGGTTTTAAGATGTGTTATCAGTTGAATCTCATTCATCACAAGTGAAAAAAATAAAACTAACATAATATGCATTTTTTTTGTTTTGAGGTAAATTATTCTCTTTGATAGAGTACTGGAGGAAGAAGAGTTTTTGATTATTTTATATATATATATATATATATATATATATATATATATTCTTAACGGGTTAACGGATTATCCGTTAAGAAAATTGAATAATACGCCCCCCAAACCGATAAGCCTAATAAAAAATTTTTAATCCGGTCCCCGTCCATTAAACCTTAACCCAATACCAATAAGCCATTAAGCTTCGATTTCGGTTCGGTTTTGAACACCCCTACCCTCTTCTCTCCAGATCGAACTTATATTCAGGGAGACGATGCACAATATCAGAGGAATAAGAATAAGGCTTATATTTCTCCATCTTCATCATATTCCCCCTTCGTCTAATTCCTCTGCCAACAGACCTACTTTGGCCTCCATGCCTATCAATGAACAAAACGAAAGAAATAGCACTTACAATTAGCTGTTGGAGAAAATAAAGTATATGAACATGAAGCAGGGGAGAAAAATATGATGGTCTATTCCATAGATGAAATCTTGAAAGATGTTGAATCATCAGAAGATATACATAAAAATGTTGAATCATCAGAACATACACATAAACTTTAATCGACAGCCTTTAGCTGTCACGACCCGGAGTTCCCACCCTCGGGAGTTGTGATGGCGCCTAGTAGTGAAAGCTAGGCAAGCCAACCAATAGAGTTATTTACCTTTTTCCAGGTTTTAATCCTTTAACAATTACGAGCCAACATTAAATAAACAGCGGAAATTAAAAGCGGAAGACTAAATCGTAATATGATAATAAAGATGCCAATATCAATTCATACATAAACTACCCAAGATTGGTGCCACAACTTTACATACGGTCTAAGAATATTACAAACAAGGTCTGAAAATAGATACAAGGCTGTTTCTAAAATACGTAAATGAAACAGGACGAAAGGATAGAGGGAGACGCCAGGGTCTGCGGACGCCTGCAAGACTACCTTGGTTCTCCGTATGG